AAGTATGTTGTGTTGCCGTGAGTAGCCTATTGTATGCAAGAGACAGGTATTGTTTTGTGTGCGCGTGACGTACGAATTGTCTAAACCCCCGATTATGTTGTAATATAAACCATGCTTGTTAACTATTAAATAATAAGTTATAATTCGTACTGCAAATCAATTATTTGTAAAATAAGTTATAATATAATTATATGAGTATTGAACTAAATTCAATAGTAAATGACTAAACCAATTATTTAGTTTTACATTTGACATTGATAATAAAATTAACGTTGTAAAATACTTACTAGTATTTATTTTATAATTTTTTTTGATAGTTATAATCTTCTAAATTAATCAATGTAAAAGTTACATAATATTTGATAATAATGTGATATTAATAAGTTTATAAAGTATTATAAATAATAAAAATGTTTGCATTAATTTGTGAAATAATTGGTCTAATATTTGTATCTCTATTCTGTGTCCGTCTAATTGTCGTTATATATAATTATGTGATAAATAACATGAAGAGAGACCCACTGGTAGGGGACGGGCGGTCGTGGGCTGTGATAACGGGTGCGACGGACGGCATAGGCCTGTCATATGCCCGACAGTTGGCTCACAAACGCTATAATCTATTACTCATCTCTCGATCGGCGGATAAACTCGAAAAAGTGAGAAACGATTTACAAGTAATACAACAGCCGTTAAACACAACCACAAAAGTATTGGACATTGACTTCACAATCAATACCGATGAAGTGTACGATCGCATCGGCCGAGAGGTACGGGTGTTGGACGACATACATGTGCTCATCAATAACGTGGGAATGGGATACCCGGACGGTCTGCCCGTATATTTTGTCGAACAGCCCGATGTGGAGGCGTTTAGTCGCGATATGATTAACGCAAACATAGTCTCGTGTACTCGACTTACAGCACAGATATTGCCTGCAATGGTCCGCAGGGGTCGAGGAGTTGTGGTCAATGTCTCTTCCTTTGCCTCAAACCTACCCATACCTCTGATTGGCGTCTATTCCGCGACCAAAGCATATATGGATTACTTTAGCCGAGCGCTGGAGGCCGAGTGCCGACACACCGGCGTTATCGTACAGTCGCTGATACCAAACGTTGTGTTAACCAAAATGAACGCCAATATACGAGAGCAGCCGTCTATGAAACGCTTGTACCCAACGGCCGATGAGTACGTAAAGCAAGCGATCCGTACGGTTGGCCGTCAGAGTCGAGCGCCCGGCTGTCGGTCCCACTGTATAATGCAGTGCTGTTTTGGTTTTCTCCGATTCATATGCGATATAATAGGCGTTGAATTGGATTTAATGATTGTATTTTCGGTGAATAAAACCGCCCGAAAACTCATTAAAACTAATTGATGTTTTATCATATGATTTATAAACTTGTTTATAATTAGTTAATATTTAATAATAGATTCAATAAAAATGAACATGTAGCAATGCTGTGCATCCAACCATATTCCATTATTAATGCGAATTTCTTAGTAATACTCTGTAAAACCTCATTAAATGTGAGAATAATTTTGAACAATTAATAAATAATTTAATTAATTAATGCATTTATTTATTAATGTGGCAAATTACCACTTATATACTTACTGTAACTATTACATTTGCAGTTAATTGTATAATGATGATGCAAATTATTATATTAATAATCGTGGAATGTAAAAATTGCTGGAATTAAATGATAATTACCAAAGCGTTCAAGCTACTTTGATTTCATTATCGATGATATTTATATAATTTGAAATGTTACTTTTTTGAACTTATTATATAAATTGAAGTAATATTATATTTCTTATTTTTTATTATAAATAACAAACATGTCGTTTAAGGCAATTATTTTATTCCCTGTCTATGTTTTAGTGATTTATGTATTATTAATAATTATTTTTATGTTATATAGTGGTCTAAAATCAATGCTTTACAAAAATGATGGTAAAATCAAAGGCAAGTACTTAACCCAGTTAAAAAATATCGAACACGACCTGGACAATCAAAACATTAAAAATGGCAATAAAATTACCTTCAACAAAAACTTATGGTTCACTTATGGACAACACGAGTGCTCTAACCGTTCACTACTAGTGCTGTTTGGATGGCTTTTCTCCAAAGAGAGACATCTGGAAAAGTATAGCAAACTATATTCGGACAGAGGTTTCGATGTGTTAACCGTCCGGACAGAGCTGTTGGACGCACTCATACCCATCACCGGGAGTCAGCCCATCGCTCAGCACGTGTACGACTTTCTGGCCACTGTTGGCCACCGGTACGAGTCCTATGTGTTTCACACGTTTTCGGTGGGCGCCTACCAGTCGGGCGAAGTGCTCGTCAAACTAATTGAAAGTCCCGATCAGTCAGTGTATGAGAGTCTGCGCCGGCGGTTGAAGGGCTACGTATACGACTCGCCGCTGGACGTCAGACACATGACAGTAGGTCTGTCCAAAGTGGTCACCCATAGCCCAGCGCTACAAAGACTGATCCAATGGACGGCCACCGCCTATCTCTATGTGTGCAACAGTTTTGTGACAAAACACTACTACAAAGCATCTGATTTGTGTCACCGGCATGTGATCCCCTGCCCGGCGCTGTTGTTTGTCTCGTACGACGATGTGGTCATCAATACTCTCTACACACTGGATGTGATCCAACGGATGAGAAGCACAGGCGTTACCGTACACTACAAATGCTGGGATCACTCGCCGCACGTTTGCCATTATTTTAAACATCCGGAAGAATACAAACAATTATTGTATAATTTTCTTAGTGAAT